ATTCTTAACTAAAACAAAGGCCATGAATGTGCCACCACAACTGGGCACGATCATCTGTAGCTTTCCCGGCTTGATCTTCTTTCCTACCTCCATCTTCCACTGTTGAAATTTTGGATGGCAGGCTCTCTGAGGCAGGGACTTGTGTTTGGGTGATGTTCTTCTCCCATGCATCCTGCATACTGGTGTTGTAGGAATATGTATTTTTAAGCAGAAGCTGCCTTGTTGCCTGAAAGAACCCAAGGTGATGTGCAATGTTAAAATCCCAGACTGTTAGTCTTCTATCTTACAATGCTTCCAGTGAGCTCAGAGCAACAAACGATCCAAGCATTTCTGCAGCGATATCACCTTATAGGCATGGCCTTGCACAAACAGAATGGTTATGTTCTACTGAAAAAGCCAAGGCTACTCTTGAAATCTTAATTCTCTCTACTTCTAGTGGGACATAAGAATTAACTTTTCATTACTGTTTTCAATAGCCATTGTATCAGTTGAAGAAGGTTGGAAGGAAGGTTTCTTAAGAACCTTGTTGTGATTGTTATGTGGCATCAAGTCATCACTGACTTAGGCAACCCTGTTAATGGATGCCCTCCGAAACACCGTCTCCTTGAAAGCCCTGCTCAGCTCCCATAAGTTCAAAGCTGTGCCTTCTTTTACAGTAACATAGAAACAGAGTAAGTCAGAAGGGCTTTCCTGGGCTATCTAGTCTGACCCCCAGCTCCAGCTGGCTCCGCTCATGACATGCCTACCATGCCTATGGAGTCAATCATTTCATAATTGGTCTTCCTCTTCTTCTGTCTTTGACTTTCCCTAGCATAATTGTCTTCTTCATGGAGTCTTGCCTTCTCATGATGTGCCCAAAGTACGTCAGCCTCAGTTTTGTCATGTGTGTTTCAGGGCAGGTGCTGACTTGATTTGATCTAGGACCCACAAGTGGTTCAGGGTTTAATGGCTTTAAATGGTTGCAACAAATATCCTAATTGTTTTTGGCTCCAGTTTACAACTATATGAAGCTGGCTTAGGCTGTGTTCAGACCATTTGTCTGAGCAAGGCAAAATCGTCTAGCTAGCATTAGTTCCCCAGGGTCTAACGACTTCCCACTGTTTGTTCCTATTTCTTCTCCAAAGTGGGAGTTGCAGGCCTTTTTTTGGTCCAAATTTGTGGCGGATTGCATCTTTACTCAGTGATAGCTACTGCTCAAGGCCTTGGGAAGTTTCCTGCCCTAATTTTTGCCATGTAGCATTTTCTCTGCTGAGCAGAACTGCGAGTCATTCAGGCCGAAATCCTGAGGGCTGCTGAATTGCAGGAGTAACCAACAATCCTGAGGCAAAGTCCCAAGCCTGCCCGACAGCGTCTTGATGCCTCTAGACTAGTGTGTGTGTTTGATGTGCATCTCTGAAGACCCTGCTGGGTGTTTATCCCTTATGCCTTTCCAGGTTATGTCAAAACATTTCCATGCACACCTGAAAATGTGATGCAGCCTTTGATCAGGACAACACGCAGACATATCAGACCGCCTTTTACTGAGTCCAACCATAAATTCATCTGCTGTGCCTGGCAGGCAAATTCCAAGGGCTCAGGGAGAGAGCTGCCTCCACTCCTGTGGAGAGGCTGGTGACAGAGCCCACGGGTCCGTGTCCTGCCACTGAGTCCGCCATGTGCTTAAGGGGCACTGCAGGCCGTGGGCCCCAAGGCAGAAATCTGGGAGCCACTGCCATCCTCAGCTGGAAGGGTGCTTCCGCTTGGCCACACCCGCCTCACTCCAGCCACGCATCCCTGGCTGCAGAAGAGTGCTAGGTCGCCTGCTGGCCCCTTCCCAGGGCATTGTGTGGGCTGCATAGTCGGTGGTGATGGGTGGGAAGGAGCCAGAGCTCCTTGCCTTGCAGCTGCCCATCACACCTGATGCTGTGAAGCAGGCAGAAGTTCATAGGGGCCTTGTACTCAAGTGCTCTGGCCCCTGGTTCTTTCCTCACAGCCCGGAGGCTTATTTCCCAGGGCCCTCTGTCTCCGTGGCTGCTAGCAGGAGAGGTTTTTTCCTAGCCTAGCCAATCAGGGCCTGAATCTTTCAGGTACACAGCAGCACCCCTGTGTGGTAGGTAGGCTTTCTACAGTTTGTTGTGAGGGCGGAGTTAGTTGCGGGTCAGCGTAAGACCGTATGCTCTGCATGCAAAGGGTTCTGGGTTCCGTCTGCAGCAGCTGGGCTGAGAAAACGAGCAAAACCGCCAGTGGTCTGGCTTGGTGCAAGGCAACTTGCAATGTAAGTATTCGAAAGTCAGAAGGTGGTGTAGGTGTGCGGTAATGTAGGCTGTGCCCTGGAGAGAGGCAGTCGCTGGAGGAGCTGCAGATTTGGTTGGCACAGGGTGGGGTGGCTGGCAGAGATGCCAAACCAGCCCTTCTGAATGACGCATGCCTGTGAGAGTGGCTTCACTCCACGATTGTCTTGTCCGATCGTTGTTCACACAACTGCGAAGTTAACCTGACCCTGCAGAGCCTAACAAGGATGTGGTGTGTTATCAAGGCGAGCACCGCTTGTTTGCTGTGGTTGGTTATGTGCATTTTTATATGTGATATGCTGCTTCTGACTTCCTGTCTTTCAAAGGTTTGCTGTCTTTGGTCGAAGAAAGAGGTTCCCATGAAACTATTAAAAGCAAAAGCTTTTCTCCTGGGTGCTGAAGGAGAACGACACTCTGCTTCTTTTAGCGTGTCACACCAAGCCTGCTTCTTCATTTTAAGGAGCCTGGGGTGGCATCGCTTGGGCATTTGCTCCACATCCTCTTGAAATAGGTTGACACAGAGAGAGGGTTGTAATTTGGACCTTCACTTGGGTGAAAGTCGTTTATTTTCCCACCTATTTGCAGGTCATTTTCCCAGGGAGGTTAGTTTCAGTCTTTGTTGTTTTAAATTTTTTACTGTATTTTAAATCTTTTTATTATATTGCTGCTGGGTTTTACTCTGGGTTTTACTTTTATTTTATGCTGTAGTTTTAAAAGTTTACAGTTTTATAGTGCATTTTTATGCTGTTTTCTTAAATTGTTGTGGCCTACCTAGAGAGCTTTGGCTATTGGATGGTATAGAAATGTAAGAAAGAATGAATGGATGACCATGGAGAAAAAAGGGTGAAAACCCCACATGTACCATTCAAGCTACTGGGAGGAAGTATGCAATATAAGTGAAAGAATAATGTGAAGGTTTGATAATGGTGTATGCTGAGATTTAGGGACCACACTGACGTATGGATGATACTTTCAAAAAGTGGAGAATGCGGCTGTTCACACAAGATGGTCAGCAAATCCCAATTCACCTTCATGTTGCATTTGCAGGCTCTGATTGGCCTGATTGGAGGTTGTGCCCTGACATCCGAACCCAAGCATCATTGGTTAATTGTGAGTTAAACAACCCACAGTCAAGCTAAGAACAAACCATTCGAGCCATGATGAACCCATAGTGCTGGATTCAGATGTCATGGAGCAACACTTGATTAAACATTGCATATGCAAAACAGAGATGGCATGCACCATGACACATTTTGGGTTGATTAACCCATGATAAGATGCTGTTATGTACTAACAGGGTCAGTAGAATATTTATTTCAAACATTTATTGGGTGTCTTGAAAGAGGAAAAGTGCCTTATTTTGAAAATACAAGAATAAAACTGCAAAAATATTAAAATATTACAGTGTCCTTGGTTTTAATTGATTAATTAAATGTATATGCTGCATTCTCATAAGCTCTCAAAGCAAGTTATCCAAATAACAAAAAAAGTATAATAATTGAGAACGTACTCAAATAGTCACTGGTTTTTGTCAGGGAAAGTCTGCATGAAAACAAAGGCCTTGAAAGGATTTCTGAAGATCAATACCAAATCCCTTGTAATGTAGTTGCAGTCACGCCATGAATCATGCCTTTGTGTCTTAGATGTTAGTACTGTCTGGATGATCACTGGATGATCATTGTTGTCAATGTTGATTGATTTTATTTTTAATAAACACCAGGAATAGTAAGAAACCTTCAGTCCAGACAACTAAAAATCTAAGATGTCAGCCCATTCCAGAAGAGAATCAAAGTTCAGAGCATTTGATTCTCTCCCTTGTCCTTCTGGAAGTCAGATCAATTGATTTCTAAATCAGCTTTGATGTGAAGAGATGTTTCAAAGTGGCAGATCATTCCTGGCACATTTATACAATCTTGTGATTAAGTTTTCATTCTCCTTGCATCGCCATCATCAATTCATGGTGCTGGTTTTGACCTATAAAGCCCGAAACGGCTTGGGACCAGGATACCTGAAGGAACATCTCCTTCCTTATATGCCCTCACGCCCCTTAAGATCTATGGGAGAAGCCCTACTCCAGGAACCCTCTCTAAGACAGGTAAAAAGTCATCATCTCGGAGTAGGGCCTTCTCTGCTGTGGCTCCCAAACTCTGGAATGTACTCCCCAGAGAAGTACGTCTGGCGCCAAGTTTATACTCTTTACGGTGCCAGGCCAAAACCTTTTTATTTAAACAGTATTTTAAAATTTAACAGCTTTTAAGTTTAGTCGCTCTGTTTGTTTTGTGATTTATTGTTTTGTTCTGTTTTATTGTTTATTTATTTAAAATATTTATATGCCATCCTGTCGCAAAAGCCTCAGGACGGCTTACATAAATGAAATAACATAAAATATGACATGAATAAATTACTGACCCACACTGACTGCAGTTAAAAACATATAAGAGTCAATATTAAAACTTATTAAAATATTGCTGAAATAAAAAGGTCGTATCCTAGCGCTGAAAAACAAATAACGATGGCACCAGGGGGACCTCTCTGGGGACCGCATTCCATAGGCAAAATTGTTGTTTTAATTGTTTTTTTAAATATTGTAAGCCATCCTAAGATCTTGTATAATAGGACGGCATGCAAAAGCTTTTAATCAATCAATCAATCAATCAATCAAGAAGTTTTGCTCCCTTGGCTGAGACAGAACGCTAGGATTTCATGTTCTCCTCCTCTTCTGTTCTGCAGGTGATGCTCTCATTGAGGTGGAGTGTGGTGCCAGTCCAGCGAGTTGTCCAAGCATGAAGCAGGCTCTCCGCTAGCGTGCATGTGATGTGAGCAATCCAGGAATGCCATGCCCTGTTGAGAGACTCTTGGCTGCAGAAGTGCAACTCCTTGTTTAGGCAAGAAAAGCAAATGCAAGGATCTTTTTAGCTACTGTTTGCTCTGGAGCACCTTGGTCAAGACTTCCTAGGTTGTTCTTCCCTGTTTTCTCCTTGCTTACACGCGAAACTAGCAAGATGATCGACCTAAGCTTCCTCACGGATGAGGAGCAAGAGGCAATCCTGAAAGTGCTCCAGCGGGATGCAGATCTGAAGAGAATTGAAAATGAGAGGGTCAGGTGAGCACTGAAAATTATTCCATGCCGCAGGCAGGTTGCATGTGCAGGGCTGGTGGGAAATGACTCACCTCCCCTTCCAGATTTTATGGGTTTTTATCGCCACTAGAGAAAGGGCCTTCCCCATCCCCACCCAATGCATTTGATAGCCATGGCATACAAGGCCAATCCGTGAAATATCAGTCTTGACTTCTGTAGCATCAAAGTCAGCATGGAAGGATTTGCAGAAACGTTTGCATCTTAAAGGCAAACAAATTGTTATGGCATAAGGTGCCATGGATATTAACCCACTTCATCAGGGATATGAATGATTGTGGGGAATTTCAGGTTCATCTACAGTACATGGGGTGTGTCAGGGGAAGATCTGGAAACTGAGATAGAAGGAAATTGAATGTAGACCATGGTAGTCGTGGTATTGACTGTGCTGGGAGCAACTGTGGTTAAAATGGGATTGGCACTTTCTGCATTTCATTTCTGTCCATGTTCACCATTTTCTCCGCCACCCCCACGTGTCCTGTAAGGAAACCTGGAAATTCTCCATAATGCTCCCAAGTCTCTGATGAAGAGCGCTGCGGTCCATGAAAGCATGGATGAAGATGATGACAACTGCTTCATGTATTCTCCAGTGGTACAACACAGAATTGCCACTCATGGCGTTCTGAATTTTATCCGGTCCCACTCTTTGCATCTGGCAAAATGCTGCAAAAGCTGTGAAGTGGAAGGGTGGAAGAATGAGTGTAGACCCCATGCATGATGCTCTCCATGTCGTAATGCCTTGAGCTTTGTGGGAAAACTGTTGTGTGCCTCCATCTTAAGCCAAATGTTCCTTGGATACCTGGCTTTTTTCTTCTTTTTTTGAGCTGTTGGACAGGAATGACCTGCTTGCTTGGGTCCCTATTATGTATCAGGCACATGCCTGCTCCCCCCTTTCAGGTCTTTTGGCTTGATCCGTCCTAGCATTTTTATTTATTTATTTATTTATTTATTTTTCAATTTATAGCCTGCCTTTTTCCTACAAAGGGCTCAAGGCAGCTTACATCATTTCTCCTCCTCCATCTTATCCCCACAACAACAACCCTGTGAGGTAGGTTGGGCTGAGAGTCTGTGACTGGCCCAAAGTCACCCAGTTGGCTCCATGACTGAGCGGGGACTCGAACCCAGATCTCCTGAGTCCCAGTCGCATGCTCTTAACCACTACACCACACTGGCTCTCTTGCAAAATAAATTCTTCTTGCCAACAGTAGCAGAATCTCCACAGCCGGCCAGGGTTGGTTTTGGGATGATAAAATAGGGAAAGATACATGGATTCAGTTTGCTTTGTGGTTCCAAGTAATTGCAGTGTAGGAATCCCTGGCACATAGCACCACACGATAAAAATAAATCTGCTGTCTTGGGACTTTGACCATCCTATCCACTGGCACCAAGCAGTCTGTAAAACTGAAATGCTGCGGTTGTGTTTACGTTAAGGAGAAAACCATGTGGTCTTTTAGGCCTTTCTCTTTGGCGGGAGCCCTTAGAATAGCAAGCGGTGCTCTTTGTTTTCAATTCTGCGTTGTGCTTGCTTGTTTGCGTGTGCCGGCTGAGAAAGGGGATGATGCGATGGAGGTGCCTGGCTTACAGCAGCCTCTGTGGACACACTTGAGGTGTCCCTCAGCGTGGTATAGTCCTCCTCATAGGCCTCACCACAGGCATGAATAGCAGATGGTCAAGTCCCAAGTCCTGCTGTCTGTGGAAGGAGCTTGCTTCCTCTGGAGGACCATTTATTTGTTCATTTTCTGATTTGCCCCAGATCTGAAGCACTGCTCCTTCCCGTGGTCTGTGAGAGAAGGAAGGGCTGGGAAAACTCCTCCAAGTTCAGTTCTCTTGTAAGGTGTGGAAGTTTTGGCCATTACAGTCCCATTCAGAAGCCCCCCAGTTTGCAGAGTTTGCAAGACCTTTGTGCTCAAGGGTTAGTGCAGATTGAAGTCTTCTTGAAATCTTGCAGAACTATTCAGAACAAAAGGCTGGGGTGGCTTTTGACATTGCCTTGCACTGCAGTGGTTTTATGAAAGGTTTTTGGAAGCTGTTCCAGGAGATACTTTGGTTGAAGCACAGGGTAAAAATATTTAACAAATAAGATACATCCTGCTAGGAAAAATATTAGTGATCCCCTGCGCCCTCCCATATCTAATCATTATCTAATACTCCATTCTTCAGTTTAGAAGGCATATATATGCAACACTTTAAGCCAGGAATCCTGGCTTATCAGACCAACATCTCCCTGAGTTTTTGCTAATGCATGCAGTCATTCAGTCCTGTTTTGCTCATCCTGCTCCTGTGAGAAGACAAACTTGTCAGACATGGGTAGCTAGATGTAAAAACTCACCTGGGTATAACATATTGTATTCAAGCAAGTCAAGATATGTAAGCCAGTACTAAACCAGGATTTGTTGTTGGCATCCACATCTTGGTTTGTTTCAGTTTATAAATTACATAGCTGTGTAGTACGTAACCTTGCACAAGGAAACAAGTGGCAAGTTAGGAATACAGGAAGCTACCTTGTATTGAGACAGGCCACTGGTCCACCCAGGCCAGTGCTGTTGACATTGACTGGCAGTGGCTCTCTGGAGAGTCAGGCCTCTTTCTTTTCCAGCCCTGCTTGGATTGAAGCTGGGACCTCCTACATGCACCGCAAGGTTCTGCCAGTGCTACTGCAGCACCCGTGTGCCACCCTTACTTTTACATTACTTGAATGAGTTAAGTCACTATTACGCTGGGTGTGTGTGCAGAACTACACATAAAGAGTCTCTCCCTGGTTATGAGAAACGAGGAACTCCGGGGATGTGTGTGTCAGACGGTTTGCAGGGAAGGGCTGCCAGAACAAAAGCTTGTTTTCCTAGACACAAGAATTAGTGACGGAGGATTCCTGTGGTTGAGTGGACGTGCAGCGAGTAAGTCAGGAGATCGCAGTTCGGTTGTTAATTGGATCTCAGCAGGGTTTTAAATTCCTTGTTATCCATTTCTGCAGAAGGGGGATGAGCTAATGTTCATCACAGGTAGGACCTCCCCTCCCCCCCCCCAAAATAAAGTTTAAACAGCAAGCAGAGCTTCCGTATTGGCTGACATAATCATTGGCATAGTACATTTCAGGGAAATGCCAACCTCAATCAGACATGACAGAAGCCAGAGACCAAAAGCCAGTCCTTCAGTCCAGCAAATTTGGGTTTATCTGTGCTGGAGCGTGTCAAGGGTTTTAGGCATTGGTCTTTCCCAGCCCTAACGGTAGATGGCCAAGACGTGTGCCCACATGCCGAACGTGTCACTGACGTTTGGCCTTCCCCAAGCGCAAGGTGCCTCATTCCTCGTCCATTACCTGGCCTCCACATAACTGCAGAAGACTGAGCTCATGTCAACAACGCGGCAGAGAATCCGTTGCCTTGTGCTGGATCATAGCGTTAAAACCTCAGCTGTACATCTGTTGTCCTGTCTTAAGTCTGCTCAGTTTCTGAGCCAACTTGGTTCTCTCCAGGTGTGCTTGCTGGGGATGCTGGGAGTTGTGCTCTGTCACATCTGGAGGGAACCAGGCTGCTTTAAGAATGTTCAATTGATTGCAGCCCTGTCATGAAGTGGCTTCGACTGGGGTGGGCAGCTTGTGACCGCCAGGTATTTTGCCCTCCCCCCATTCCCATCTGCCCCCTCTGGCACAGCTGACAGTGAGGGCTGATGGGAGCGATAGGCCAAGCATCTGGAGGGGCGCAAGTTGCCCACTCCCAGTTCAGAATACCACCATGATATGGCACAGAGCCCTTGTGCACGAGATCAGGGCAGACCTTGGGCCATGTGCTTTCTCTTTGCCAGTTCTCCCTGCCGTGAGAATCCAGGGAAAAGACCATATCTGGTCATATATTGTTGTTATTACTACAGTACATTGGAATCTTGCCTTTTTCCCTCTTGCAGGGAACCCAAAATGGCCTGCAAGATTCTCTTCTTCTCCATTTTTTCCCTAACAACCTCCTGACTGGCCCAAGTCACCCAATGAGCTTCATGACTGAGTGAGGACTAGAACCCAGATCTCCTGAGGTCCAGTCCAGCACTCTAACCACTGTACCACATGGCCCTGCTTCCTAAGGGGAACAGCCCTGTTTCTGGGAGGCAGCAGGTCAACAGAACCCTTTATGTACGTTCTGCCCCTGCTCCTTTTAGGGTTTCACAGCAAAGCTAATTGCTCTCACCTCCAAACTGGTGTTGTGATTTGTGCTGGGGAAGCCCAGTCAAGACCAGGCAGAAGGAGAACCTTGGACAGCTCCGCCTGGATTCTGCCAGCTGGAATGCCCTCCTGATCTGTCAGGGACGGGCAGCTTGTGGCTCTCTCAGTATTTTCCCTACACCTCCCATCATGCCTCAGATGGGTTATACTGGCTAGGGCTACTGGGAGTCGTGGCCCTCTGGATGCTCCAAAAGGAGAATGCCTTCTCAGCAGGATGTGCACATGAGCATAGGCTGCTAAATCCTGGAGTGTGCTGAGTGGTGTCCCTGCTGGAGCGGTTCTTTGCATGTGGTTTTGCAGGCCCAAAATAAAGACAATGGCAGGGTTGCATTTGGGACCGCACTGTGGCTGAAGAGTGTCTTTTTCAGAAGCCCATGCAAGGCACCAGTGCCAGGGGTCACGGGGGGTGGCAGAATAAAAGGCATCCTTTAGCATGCAGTCCAGGCAGCTGGACAACTCCAGGCTTCCTGGCACTTCAGTGAAATCATTTTACAGGCCCATCCGGCAAGGATGCACATGGCATTGTGCCTACGTGGCAAGGTATGGCCCATGCATTACAATCAATATTTACTTTGGACGTGTTACTCCATTTCAGCCACAGATTTGCTTAAAGGGCTGCTATCAGGTATACATGACTGTGCAAATGAGCCCTGATAGCTGCAAAATGCACACCTCCCAGGTGTAAGCTGGCTCAGGTTCCCTTCACACAAATTCCAGTGGAGCTGTAAAATGTTTTCCCAACTCAGTAGTCACGTCAGGCTACAGAAAGGAATGTCTCTGTGTGATCAGCAAGCGCTCCTGCTGTTCTTTTATATAACATCCCGGGCTGTGAAGTGTCCAAAAGACCATTGCCATCCTTGAAATTGGATGCAGCGACTTACAAGCCACTGGTTAAGAGGATGCAAAATGAGTTATACTGTAGGTCTCTTACAGCACAAACAAACAAACAAACATCAAGAGCATCCTATGCAAATTTAGACAAAAAAGGACCTACCCTTGCTAGCATGCTCCAGGCAGTAATTTGAACTTAAGTGACTCTGGTCTGATCAGACTCCCTGTGCCACACCTTCTGTCAGTCAGCTAGAAGAACTTGGAGGTGAAGGAAGTGAATCAGACCCTTCCAACTCATAATGAATGGAGTCAGCACCTGTTCTGATAGAGGCAGGTCTGGACTTGTCATGCCAGTACCCTCTGATCAGGACTCATCTGGGTTCTTCCCTCCACCTCCATCTTCCCTCCACCTCTTCCCTCCATCTGCCCATTAGGGTGGACAAAGCTTGAACTCTGGTTCTGGTAACTAGATGGGGCAGATCCCAGACTGGGTCTTTGCGGAAAAGTCCAGATTTCTGGTGTGTCTCAAACACTGGGTTCCAGCCATCTAATGTGTTCTGCTACAGGCTAGTTTGGTGTGGTGGTTACAGTATTAGACTGGGAACCTGGGTGAACTGGGTTCTAGTCCTCCCTCAGCCATGGAGCTCACTGGGTGAGTCACTTACTCTCAACCTAACCTTCCTCACAGGGTTGTTGTTGTGAGGATAAAAAGAGAACTATGTAAGCTGTGAAGGTTCCTCTATGCTGCTCACTAGTCAAACCTCACCTGGAGTCCTGTGTCCAGTTCTGGGCACCAAGATTTAAGAAAGATGCAGATAAATTAGAGAGGGTCCAGCGGAGGGCAACAAAAGTGATCCAGAGTTTGGAAACACTGCCCTATGAGGAGAGACTGAGAGAACTGGGCTTGCTCAGCCTTGAGAAGAGAAGACTGAGGGGGACATGATATCCCTCCATAAGTACCTCAAAGGCTGTCACAAAGAGGAAGGTCAAGATCTCTTCTTCCTCATGCCAGAGTGTAGGACAGGGAATCATCAGTTCAAGTTACGGCAAGCCAGATTCAGGCTGGACAGGAAAAGCTTCCTCACTGTCAGAGCAATACAGCAGTGGAACCTGCTGCCTGGAGAGGTGCGGGGCTCTCCCACACTGGAGACATGCAAAAAGAAACTGGACAGCCATCTGAGTGGGATTGTGCAGCAGCAGCAGGTTGGACTTGATGGCCTTCATGGCCCCTTCCAACTCTACTATTGTATGATTCTAATAGTCAAAAAGGTGGGATAGAAATTTCATGTAATAATGAATGACAGTGATAAACAAAAATGATTGCCTTTCCCCTAGTCTTTATTTTGTTTCCACGGACTGCAAAGTAACATGCCAGGTTCCTTCTCCTGCTGAGCTGGCTGCCCTGCTGGGACAAACAGTGCAAACACAAGGTCTGGGCTCTGTGCCTTATTTATATTTTACTTATTTTATCTCCATACAGCCCAATGTCTGGGCCACATACAGAAGTGCCTAAAAGAAGGCCATGGTACAGTAAATCAGCCCTAACATTAGTCCACAGTACAGCATTTCAAAGTGGTTTAAGAAATGTAGAAACAAAATGGCAGCAACAGCAACTTCAAAGCAGACCTATTAAAAGCACCTGATACAGGTGTCCCCATCAAGCCATGAAAGAACTCTAGGCACCGGGGAACACCTCAGCACAGAAGGGATGGCAAAGGTGGTGCCAGGTGGGCCTCCAGAAGGAGCGCACTCCATAATTGTGTGTGTGTGCGGTGGGGAGGGGCACCACTGAGAAGGCCATCCTCCCTGTGGCTTCCAGTCAGCCCTCCCTTCGAGGTGGCGCTTGGAGGAAGGCCTCAGATTTTTATCATTGCATCCAGGTAGATGGCAGTCTTGCTTTCCAGCACATGGAATCAGTACTGCTAGATAATTTTAGCGCCTGGATGGAATGGGCAGTAAGCCACTCTTAGTTGTCATGGTTATGTGGTTACGTAGGGCATAGTCCTGTTCATGTTTAGGCAGAACAGTGTTTCTCAGCTCCCAGCATTCCCCAGCCCATCATGCCAGCTGGGGAATGCTGGGAACAGCAAACCATTTTGTATTTAAAGATGCAGACAAGCACAAATAGATGTTATTTCTTAAGGTACATGTGTCTAGGGCTGCAAGTCAAGACTCGGAGATAAACTGTAAGCTCCGTTTTCGACAGTTGGTTATGGAACCCCTGGGGGGAAGGGCAGATGGTTGCCACTGCCTTTCTGGTCTTTCTCAGCTGCCACAAGACCCTTCTTTTCTTTCTCTGGTCTGTCTCTCCAGTTTCCTCAGAGATTTTCTTCCCAATTTCTCTCTACCCACTTCTTACTCTCATTAGGGTCAAAAATAGTTGAACTCCAGGTGTTCTGCTGGGGTAGAAGTGGGTACTGCGGCGTCCAAGGTGCGCCATTAGCCCTCACCAGTGGTGGAGAATGACAGGAGTTGTAGGCCAAAACATCTGGGGGACCCCAAGTTGCTCACCCCTGCTCTGGAGGGGCATACTGCACAAGGCTACGCATCACAAAGCTGTGCTTATTCTTCTGTATGCTCAAGAGCACTGTGGCTTTTTTTAACCTCTTGGGCTTCTGTAATTTGCTAGTTGCGGTAGCGCCTAGGAAGACTTTTCTCGGAGTTGTGATGTGCTGCAATGCCTGCTTGAGCTATACATCCTTTTCCTGCTCCCCAGCACAATCCTTAAATATTCCCAGCCTTCACTAACATGCCTGCACACACAGGTCATGGGAGGCTAGTGCCAACGGAGTACTTGCCCGCAGAAGAGGACTGTGGCAAGAGACACACGCTCTGTCATATGTCTTGGCCAGTTTCTTCTAGTTGTACTACTCATCTCATTCCCCGGCTTGCCATGGGCCAAATTTGGACTCCTTTCATTTTGAGCAGGGGGCAAGAGAAAAGGCACACTGGGAATTGAGAAGAAATCAGCCAGGGAGTACGGTAGCAACATAAGCAGATGAAGATCTTGGGATTTATGGTGAAAATAAATAACTGGACTTTTAAAAACAAAGACACTCCTTCAGAAATCCATGGGTCTGTTGGGATGACATGATATCCCATTGTGGGTTGATTTACCCCTGAGGGGGACTCCTATATGTGCTGTCTACCCTTAAGAATATGCAAGCCCCAACTTGGAGTTGTCTTTGCTTGTTGTGTCCCCCAAGCCTGAGCAGGAGGGGTTGTTTGTGGGTTAAACAACCCTCATAGAACCCTAGAACAGGCTGTGGGTTATGCAAGGGTTGTTTAACCCTCAAACAAGCCCTGCCACTGTGGTTTGGACAATACAACAACCCATGGTCAGGGGTTTAATATGCAACATGCTGGCAAAATATGTCACAGATCACCATGGCTTAAGCAAACCACAGTGGGTTATTTGATCATTCTAAGCAAGTCAGGGCATCACAGTGTGCAGGAAAAGAAAGGAAGAAAGAATAGTTTTCACCGATCTGTACTGAGTGCCTGGGCACACTCAGGCAGTGTGAGGATAATGTCTACACACTCGCACTGCCCGTCATCTCTGAAATATTTGCGTATAGGCCATTGTCTCTGTTGGTATCCTTAAAAAAATCTTAAATCTAAAATGTTGATTTGGCAGCCTTCCTCCAGCCTGGTGGCCTCCAGGTGTTTTTGGGCTACAGCTCCCATCACTGAGGACCATTGGCCATGGTAGCTTGGGCCAGTGGGAGTTGTAGTCCAACTCATCTGGCAGGTATTGCATCGGGGAAGACTGCTTTAGAGGGACATGCGTGACTGTCCTCCATGGGTGCCTGTGTGTTTTTTTCTTCATAGTTTTCCTTTAAAGGAGTCACATTTTGGGTAGTTCTGTGGGAAAAGCTGCTTGGAGAAAACAGGTAAGGAAAAATGGGTGTGTGCATTTTCCTTGTCTGGGCTGATAGTTTCTGTAACGTGTAAACAAACTTTCTCGTTGCAGGAAAATGTAACATTCTTTTAAACCCCTTTTTCTAGGCATTTACCTGAAAAAGTGAGAGATGAAAGTCAGGTCAAGAACATGAGTGGGCAGTGGTTTTACGAAGCCAAGGCCAAGAGGCACAGAGAGAAAATATATGGTGCCGACATCGTTCGGGCATCCATCAGGAGGAAGCCGCTGACAACAGGTATGGAGTCAATATTTTTGAAAATAGTAGGGCTTTTGAGGTGAAGAAAACTCTTTAGTTCTTGCTGCAGAGCTTCAAGCTAGACGGTACTATGCTTTTGTTACACAAATACCAAATGCACCCCAGTCTTCAGTAGATTATACATTCTGTGGCATGGAACAGTGGAGGAGGAGAAGGTGGGAAGTTCCATTGTGCAAGTGGATTTGCAGAAAGTTGGGTCTAGTCCATTGGTCTAAATCCGACACAGTTGATTTCAAGCTTGCCTAAATCAGACTTGGAGGGAGGAATCTGTCCATCGTCCCCTTCCTGAATGACCCCACTGGATTCTTTGCGTTGACTTGGGCAAGTTCCAAGTAGCCAGATTCCATCTGGAGATGGAAAAACATCCTGACTGTTAGAGCAGTATGGCAGTGAAGCCGGCCCAGGGAAGGCGTGTGCCCTCCCACATTGGAGGCATTCATGGGGCAACTGGACAGCCATTGGCAGGGATGGTTAAACCTGGAATCCTGCATTGCGCAGGCTGTTGGACCCAATGGCCTTATAGACCCCTTCCAACTCTTCTATTTGATTGTTCTACTATGTAGTTATTCTAAGTTCCTCATGCAGCTCCTGTGAGAATAGAAAGCTTGTCAAGCTTGTCCAAAGCTTGTAAAGCCTTTTGCATGTTTAAAAATAAGACACTTGTTAAAAAACACGAGATGTAACTAAATGGCATTTACTTCTTTTAAACATTTGGAACCTTGGACATGCTGATGGAACTACTAAAAGGTACTTGATGGCGCAATGCTATGAACCTTAAGGCAAAAAAAGGCTTGGTGGGGCATGCTGGGAGCTGGGGCATGATGGGAGTTTTACGTCTCTTTTCTGTCTAACCTTGTATAGGGTAGCATGCTGGAGAGTCTACATGCTTAATTAGATTGTGTCTTCCAACTTAATTGCAGTGCTCCTCAGCTGTTATGTGAAACAAGTACTGCTGCAATGCAAAATTCCTTGTCTGTTTTGTCTCTCTGTGTTTTTTTAAGCTGGGATGACTCCAAGGAAGCCAGGCAAAACAGAGAACAGCTGGGTGAACAATGTTAATAAAGAAGTCCTTGTACCACCAGAGCTGTTGGAAGAGACAGAAGGCAAAATGAAACCTAACCAGAGGTTAGCTATCCAACAAACTATCTGATCATTTGGTTTGTAGAAGGGTATTTCTACAAACCAAAGGTAACCAGTGAAACTTTTCAGTATTTGTGGGGGTGAGTTATTTTCATGGCACTGTAATTGCCAGCTGTATAAAGGTGCACTTTTTGAGGGATGGGAAGTGGTTCCTTATGTCAGCTCCGTTTGAATTCACTTTGAAGGATTTTGGTACCATTTAGACTGCAGTGGGAAAACCAGATTCTTTTTCTTAAGAAGGGAGGCAAAAGGTTTCACTTTGAGTTATGCTCCCAGGGGCAAATCTCTCTCCTCCCTTTTCCTCTCCAGTGGTCTCAGATGAACCTTGGAAGGACAGTCTACAGGTTTACAAACAGCATCAAACCTTTGATATATGGGAGTGTCTGCCCATGTGAAGAGTGCAATCCAAACTGGAATGTTTGTTTAGCAGGGTGTTTAGTATGGTGACCCCTGTTCTGGAAAAACATCCCCACTGAGATTAAACATGAACCATCACTTATTATTTTAGCTGTATGTCCAAGTTACCTCTATCTGTTTTTCATCCCTATAGACACCTAGATAAGGTGTGTGTGTATATTATTAGTTTGTAGTAGAAGAGGTCTATGTAAGCGCCTTGAGTTCCTCACAAGAGGAAAAAGGCAAGATACAATTGCAAAGCAACAACAAAAACAACAATTCCTTCAATGAACTGGTTTTATATTTTGCTTTTTTATGACTTGTGTATATAATTACAATTTGTAAGTATAAGCACTTTTAACAATACCCATCAAATACATAACAAAAATTAGCAACTACATGTTTTAGCATTGCTAAAATAATAGCAATGAGATGCCACATTTTCAAAATCCCATTTGTTAAATATAGGTACATGGATTTGTACGAAAATACATACAGCTATCGAGCAATTATATGTAACCTTCAAGAAAAGCAAACCAGATGTGCAAATATTTTAGCCTCTATATATAATCCATTCATATATCGAAAAGGTTGCCAGGTCCTCACTCCATTGAATTATAGAAGGTGGATGTTCAACCTTCCAATTTTTAATATCAGTCTTCTAGCTGTCAGAAGTGTGCAGAGAATCTATTCCTCTTCATTTATCAAGTTCCATGAAGTAGCTAAATAATTTAAAGGGGCATCAATGGATAGTAATGACTGCTCCAGTACAACATTTACCTGTGCGATAATCTTTCTAAAAAAAAAAAAAAGAAGCACCTACTGGATATTACCAATACATAGGTAAGAAGCATTTGTTGTATCACACCCCCTGTGGTTAGTGGAACTGGACAATCCCTTAAAGAAATGTTGCACAAGTTTTCGTTGAATGAGAGGCATTCTAAGTTCCAGAGATGCAGCAGGTGGATGCCTAAACAAGGCCACTGTTTAGCCATGTTGTGGCGATTCCCACAGCAGCCTCTCAGATTCCCATTTGTGCTGCTGAATCTGAAATTGGTGGGGACCCTTGCTGTAAACTATGAAATATTTTAAGAGGGGATAGGTGCGGTATTCTTGGCTTGGCTTTTTTCGAGGGGCCCTTCCTTTGAGACTGTCACCATCACAGGCATGTTTGGTGGCAATGTAAGGGAGGGCCTTCTCGGTGGCTTCTCCCAGGCTCTGGAATGCCCTGGCGAGGGGGGCTTGGCTCCCTCCTTCTCTGTTGCTCTTCACCTGGCAAGCAGAAAAGGCCTTTGACCAGTAAGTGGGTCTGTGGGATTGGCTGCCTTATATATTGTGTGTTACATCTTTATAGTATTTGATGGTATTTTCTTGTTTTAATCTTTTACATTGTTATTGCAAAACACGTTGAGTACCCTTTCTAGTAGGGTATAAGTAAAACCAGGGTATAAGTAAACCCAAATAAAGCCGATCCTTTATTGAACTTAGTTGGGCATCTCTTGGTCATTCAAATGCTTAAGGGTCCTTGTTGGGGAGCACTATTATTTAAATCATCTTAGGTGGGTGACAGTCCGGACAAAGTAACAGGCTGGGATTTCTTGTTTTTCCCCACCTTTATAGCCCTAAAGGATTCAGTATGGCCGTTGACACATTAGAGACACCCAAGGAGGATGCGCAAAAGCCAGCAGTCTCACCATCTAAGGTGGGTTCATTGACAACAATCTGTGAAAATTGACTGCTTTTTAAATATTTGTCAGAAAACCGTCTTTTATTACAGTATCTCTGTGTTACATGTACCTGTGCGCTTCTTTGTCCCAGGGTCCCCCAACCCTGGCTTTTCCTTGGAAGACAAACTTGGAGTCAAGCCTGGCCAGTGGAGGAACCACAACTTGGGGGAATGTTTGCTGGGAGGAATTAGTGCAAGCAGGAAAAGCATACCCACCTCTCTCCCTGCAGAACTGCTCAACTGTAACCTTTGCATTATCTCAGCAAACCGTGATCTAGAAGTGCGTGTTTGCTGGGATGACCTGCAGATCTGGCCAGGAAGGCTTGTCTGCACCCGGTTTTGTCTCTGTTTTGACCTTTTAATACCTGACTGCTCAAACGGTGCTTGGAGTCTTCCTAGTTACTGTTGTGTGGGCTTACTTCCCACATGCACAGGCAGCATTTGACTAATGACTCCTGACCAAGTGTAAGAATTGCCTCCACTGAAGATTTTTATGGTTTTGAGTTGTCATTGGGTATTATGGCAGTTCTTGCTGTGGTGATTACTCACAATGCTTTATTCACCCACATATCTTTTGAAATAAAGCCCTAGGAAAGAAGATTCCACGTTGATGCCAGGAAGTACTCCTGACAGTCAGGACCCCGAGGGTATGGAATGGGCTTCCACGGGAGGTGGTTGAGGCCCCATCGGTGAGGGTTTTCAAGGATAGGCTGGACATGCACATGATGGGCATGTCATGAGTGGAGCTGGCTGGAGCTGGGGGTCAGACTAGATGGCCCAGGAGACCCCTTCTGATTTACTCTGCTTCTCTGTTTTTATGTAACTGGGTATATTTAGCCTTGAGAAGAGAAGACTGAGGGGAAATAAGATAACACTCTACAAGTACTTGAAGGGTTGTCATGATGAGGAAGGCCAGGATCTTCTTGATCATCCCAAAGTTCAGAACAAGGAATAATGGGCTCAAGTTACAGGAAGTCAGATTCCAGCTAGATATCAGGGTACATTTCCTGACTATTAGAGCAATGTGACAGTGGGACCAGTTGCCTAGAGAGGTGGGGGGCTCTCCCACACTGGAGACATTCACGATGCAACTGGACAGCCCTCTGAGTGGGATGGTGTAACGTGGTGTCCTGCAATGAATACAAGGCTGGACCTGATGGCCTTCTTGGCTTCTTCCTACCCTGCTATTCTATGATTCTAGGTAGCGTCAGTGCGAATATTGAATATGCGTGTGTAAATCAGCAACTCAGGTTGCTCTCAACCTAAACAGTGCAAAAGAACCTCACAGCAGGCACTGGGCGATTTGCCTGGGATTGAAGGATGGTTGGAAGGAACACCTGGCTGACTCTAGAAACAGACAAAAATGCTCCATTTTCAGCTGTCAGTGTTTTAGTAAGAACACTGTTAAAACAAAAGGATAATACGGACAAGTAAATGGCAAAAACTTGCAAAAGCCATTTAGCGGTTTTAGCAGACCTTCCTCCACCCCAAATGGATGTTCTCAATCTGTGGTTACAGCTATTAGCCAAGCAAGAGGTTTGTCATCAGTGAACAAGTTCCTTGTCATGGCTTTACTGCTTAAAAAATACTCGGCAGCTGGGTACGGAGAAGTGAACAAAGAACACTTTTGAAACTGAAAACTGAACCGTGGCCAGGGGCAAGCCTGAATAACAGCTTGGATTGTATTCTGGAAGTGCAGGTTAGACTGGACTGATGGGATGTGTGTCCCACCTGCTTCGGTATTTATTGAGGGAGAAGTCCTCATCGGTATGCAGACAATGCAGTGGTTGGTATTTGATCAAGGGCATCTGACGAAAGTACCTGTACCTTTTATGTGTGTTTCTCACTGGCTGCGTTTCTGTGCATGTTCAGTTGCTTTTATGTAGCTTCTGGATCTGGTCACATTGCTTGGTCGGACAGGGATGGGGACGGGATACCCTCCCGTTTTCCTCAGCGCAGTGAGCTTGTGTGGCCTTCATTTTGGAACACTGGACAAAGTGATGCACTTCCAGACACTTGTTTTTGACCACTTTTCTTTTTTAGACATACCCTAACCCTAACCCCTGCCCCCCGGAATGAGGTCTGATGGATTCCCACCCTACCTTTACAAATGCAGTTGTTCATTTGTATAAAACAAACAACAATCCCTCCTTGCCAAAACCAATAAAGTGCTGACCTTCCTCTTGACATGTTTGCCCAGCTGTGGTTTAACGCTTACTGCCGTCCCTTAACAGTTGCTGTATGTCAAGATGTCCTATATGATAATTTCTTGGAAATTATAGCTGGCTGCAGGTGTATCATGAAAATATTTTTCCATGCTCTATCTCTTCTCCCCTACCTTCTGTGAGGATAATTGCCATCGCTCAGTTAAATGCAGCACCTTCAGCCCCGGTATCATTTCTGGTTAGCTTGCTCAGTTGGAACTATCCTAACCACACCTAGTGTAGAATAAGTCCCGTCCGATGCTGTGGAATTTACCTCAGAGTTCAGATGCTGTGAGGAATGCATCTCTGTTATTTTGGGTATGATTTTTCTTCCTTGCTGTGCTTTTTTAAAAAAAAAAAACCCTGTAAATTTAAGCTGTAACATTTTCATTTATTTCAGCAAAGGAAGAATCCATTTAATGATGCAAGTTTACCAGAAGATCATGCAAAAATTGAGCGGGCTGAAAATGGAATGAATGGTTTATCAGAGCCAACAGGGAAAGGTGATTTTTTAAAAAAAGAATCTCTGTTGTTTTTGTGGAGTCACTAAAAAACTTGAACAAGTGTGCCAGTATCTTTCACTGGCACTTTGGGGTTGCATTAATGGCTGAACTTTTCAAAGGAGTCTCCGATAAACATACTGTATCTTTGTCTCTCCTTTGATTGATGTCTCCCCTTCCCATTGACATCCTCCAAGTGGCTTTTGAGCAATCTGCAGTGTGAAAGAAAAGCAAAGCTTTCAAAGATATTTAACATGCATAAACAGTGCATAATGCTTATCAAAACTATATTCATTGGGCCCGAGAACAAGATTAGATGCAGAGACTGAATGGCTCTGTTGGCTGTGATTTAAGAGTGGAGTGGTCTTAAATCATAGCCAATGGTCATAAGCATGTATGTATGTAGGATATATTGTTTTTTCTTTAATTAAAATCACTGATAATAATAGTAATGGCTATGATGATGATGATGGTAATAATTATATAAAGCAAAGTCATAAGTCAGGGTAAATGACCCTTGCCTCTTCTGCTGAACGCTGATGAAATTTTTCAGCACAAACAGTGATTATGACTCTCTTGAGCTACTTTCATGAATTCAGACTGGAATGTCCGAATGCACTGTATGAATGATTTGGGAGCTTTCCTTAGTGGGGTGACCACTAGTGACAGCCATCACTTCTGTGACACACTTTTATTTGTCCTTTCCTGTCCCATTGTAAATTCCCAGGCTACAATTGTCTCTTTCCTTTGTATTAGGAGATTTCGAAGTAAGAGATGGAAATCCTAGCCTAATTTTAGATTCATTTCATTAATTCAATTTTCTGGATTATTTCCAAGTCATATTGGTTAGAAGTGAGGGGTGGGATCCTTGGCCATTTCTCAAAGTTTGATAGTGCAGCTCTTATGCATGTTTGGACAGAAAATTAGTTAGTTTGGATTTGGATTTTTGTAATTTCCAGAGAACTGGTTTTATACGAAGTACAACTCAACATACTGCATGTATTGATCAGGCCTAATTTAAAGCTTAAATTTAAGCTTTAAGCTTCTTGTCCTGTTGCATTGTCCTTGTCCTGTTGCATTAAGCTTTAAGCTTCTTGTCCTGTTGCATTGCATTCTGGGTTTAACCAATAGGCCTCTTGCAAGGTACACAGTGATGTGTTTATGTACCTACATGGTACCTTGAGTTACAGTGCAGCAATCTTTACTGTAGCATGTTTTTACCATTCCCTCTCTGTGTATGCTTTGTCTTGTAGAAGCACATATGCCTTCAGCAGAAGACCAACCCAGGATAGGCCTAACACCCTACACGAGTGTAGGAAGTCCAGAGCAGGCTTCTGTAGGACTGAGTGAAGCAGGAAAACCTCCTGTACCAAGAGCTCGGAAAAATGCCCACAAGACCTCAGATGTCAGCTTGAGAAATGAAAATCCCCTCCCCAAAGCGCCTAGAAGGATCAAGCAGGTGAATGGCCAAGGGACGCCACCCCGGGGCATCCTGAAACGCAGCTCCAGCTCCAGTTCCACAGACTCCGAAATGTTCCGTCTGAGCCAAAACATGGACTCATCCAATAAAACTGGACTCCCAGCCTCAGCTATCCTTGAAGACGTTCCTGCAGGGGAAGCAGAAGGCTTCTCGCAAAACTCTTTGGAAAGACTAAAGCAAGTCAGGTTCTCCTCCAGCGTAAGTAGGAAAGGGCATCCACCGAGTCATGAGTCGCACACAGGCAAAGAATCGGGAGAGTTCAGTCTGTTAGACTCTGACTCCATTAAGACCAACGAAGGCCGAGTGAGTGGCGTGGAGGCGCTTCAGAGTGAGCAGTCCCGGCCAGCAACGCCTCCTCAGTCCTATTCTCCAGCTTTAAATGGAAACGCTAAGGACAGAGGAGAATTTCAAGAAAGTGGAACAGCGCCAGGTTCTCACAAGCCAAGCAGCGCAGATCCACCCCCTGGCCCCTTGCAGGCTGTCGAAAGCCAACTTGCGGAACCCTCCCTTCCGAGTGGGTCTTCCAGCCAAGCGTGTCCCGGTGCTGGAGAAGCGGAAACTCATGAGGTGCCCCCTCAGATCACGACAAAACAGCCGAGTCCTGAGTCAGAGGCCTTCCCAAAAAGCACCACTGGTAAGAAATACCGGGAGTTCACAGCAAGTCACATTTTCAGCCTGTTGTGATCCTGTCTGACAATCTTCTCTTTGGAAGCATGCCGTCGCTTTGCCATCTCAAGGGGTGTGCTCACCAGATGCTTCTTTTCTAATTCCTCGCCATCCCACCTTCGCGGGGCTGCTGATCATTTTGTGATTTAGGCTTCACTCCATTGATGGTTGTGGGATAATGACTTGAATCAAATCGTGCTTGGGACAAGCGGGGTATTCGGTCTGTACTGGGGCAAAAATGATGGTTGACGCAATTGGTAAGTAGCCTTTCCTACGGATGCATCCGAGATCTTCCCCTGCCATTTTTGTAGAGCAAGAAAATAGTTACCATGTTAGTTAGAAATACTTAACATGGTTGAAGATAATTGAAGATAACTTATCATAGCTTGGCAATAACTGCCAATCCCCTCCCCCTCAATTCCCTCTTCATTTCTTGGTTTGGACAAACCATGTTTTGCTGTTATTTCCATATGGAGCAATCTGGACATGTCTCCAACCCAGAAATGTCTTCAAGCAGAGGTTTGGTTCAATGGCCAGTCCATGGCGTCACCTTTGCATTTGAGCTTGGCTATTATAGTAGAGCTGTTGGTTGGTGCGATGTCTCTTTCGAATGAGGAACACTGGATTCCATACAGGAAGCCACAGCTTTGCGCTTACAAGAGCAAAGCAGGGGTGTCAGAGAGAGGACATTTTGGAGGGTGCTCATCCATAGGGTTGTCTGTTGGAGATGACATCACAGCATGTAACAACAACAACACAGGATGTCTGTCTACAATATGATCGAGTCTTGTCTTCCATTTTGTCATTGTCACAGTTATTTTAAAAGCAACTCACACTAAGTAAAATTAATATATTGCGTATGTCTCATACAGTGTCAGGTTAGGAAGTTTTATTACTGGGGAAATATTTTAAAACTTTCCTCTGTTGCTAAATTGCTTCATGTTCCAATCCTGATAGATACGTTGCCAGAAGTTGAGCATTCTCATCCTAAATTATCAGAATTCCTTGAAAAATATAATCAATCGCATTGTTCTTTCTTTTCTTTCCTTTTTTTAAATACTTCTTTGTCGTTTGACACTGAAATTTTACACTAGCTTTTATGGTGCATGTGATGCTATTGCATCCTTTTTTACTGTCCTGCCATGAATTTTGAGCCAGCAGGGATCTTTGCCTATTGGGCACTGCAGAAAAGAAAATAACAATGTAATTGATGATGATGTAGCAGGACAGGCAGATGTAGGAGAAGGATGCTGTGGGCGAAAATGAATAGTCAGGGGGGCCACCCTTAACCTCGTGGCCCCCAGATGTGTTGGACAGTAACTCACGTGCTGGCTGGGAATCACGGGAGTTGTAGATCAGCACAGGTTGTAGGTTGGAGAAGACTCAGTTGGACATGGAGTTGGGCAACTCCTGTTTGAGTCTGTTCATGGATCATGCCTTTTGGCACTTGCTTTGCCCCCTTCTTTGATGCATGTGGTGAAGCAACTGGAAATGCTGGTTTGTAAAACTTGAGGGCAAATAGATGCCTGCTCCGGACATACAAATGGCAGGGACAGGTCTAAACAAGCATACGAATGAATGGTTGTTTAGGCTAGGCCTGCACAGCCTGTGTGTGGTGTGCCGGAGAGAGTCTTGGACCAGGGGCCTGGGAAGTCCAGGCTTTAGTCCCCGCTTACCATGAAGCTCATGAGGTGGCTCACCCTCAGCCCAACCCTCCTCGCAGGCCTGTTGTTGTGAGGATGAAATAGAGCCTCGTAGCTGCCTTGGATTCCTCACAGGACAAGAAAAGGTGGGATATTAATGCAAAGTAATGATACTACACTGAATGCAGCCTAGCAGTGATGCATTGCGACTTGCTGGGTACCAGCCAAACTCACCTCTGTTTTTAGGACTGGATAAGAAAGCAGGTTTTATTTTATTTTTTGAGATGTAAGTGTGGATTCCATCAAGGAAGCCACAGCCTTGAGCCTCCAAGAGCTGAGTCGGGCGGCCAAGGACAGGACGTGTTGGTGGGCACTCATTCATGGGGTCACCATGTGATGCAGGCAGGGAGTAACAACAAAAATCCTGAGACGGTAGGCAACACCCTGGAAGAAGCATTTCCCCACTTCCACACATAGGAGGGAGCTCCTCTGCAAAGACAGATGCAGCTAGGGCGTACCTGTGCCCTCGAAAAAGAAACAACCCCCTTTTCCCTTCAAAACTACTCTGCTGTGTACACATTTATGTCAAGGGATTAAAATTACAACCTTTGGCCCTGTCTCTTGCAGACCAGCAGTTGCCTTTGGCTAAGCCAGAAGAGCCTCAGGTGCCCAAAGGAGGCTCTGCAGACCCTGAACAAGGTAAGTCTGCTCTTGCTGAAGGTCAGAGTGCTAGAACACTTTCCAAAGCTGACAAATACGCTGCTGAGATTGTGAAGGCAGCTGATGAGTCCATATCGAAAGTTCTAGACTGGTTTAAAAGAAGTTCCAGTGCTGGTGGTAACGAATCGATGTTGTCTGCTCCTCAAGAAAGGAAACTTGCAGAGAAAAGGAGCCTGCACAAGACAAGGGAGTTGACGGTAACCGGAGAAGATCACGGATCAAGCCCAGGTGTGCTGAGAGGAAAGCCTACCAGCCAGAACGACCAGTCCCGTGACCCAGTATTTGCGAAGAATGGAAGACCAGTCAGCCTACTGGTAGGAGAAGAAAGAAGCTTCACTCAAGGCAAAGCAGAAGAGACGGCAGGCTCTGCCCACCAGAGGCCATGCGTTCAAACTGGCGAGAGAGCACATATTCTGACCACTGGCCAGGACATGAACAAGAGAGATGATGTGGGTGTGGAAGGCAAGGGTGAAGTGGAGGATGGAAATACTTCATGCGGAGAACTGAAGGTTGAAGATAAAACAGTTAAACCGGGTTTGAAGAGTGCTGATCCTTCTTTTGGAGGGGCAATGAAAGGGAGAAATAGTACACATAGATACACTGATGGGGAGAGAGATGTCAGATCTTTATTGGAAGAAGGAAACCTTGAGCAACCATCTGGAGAGCTTCATAAAAAACATAAAGGAAAGGAATCTGGATTATTGGATGATGAAAATACGCACCGCACCAACCAAGGGGCCTTGTTGCAGCCACATGAATTCAAACAGTCATCTCTGATGGGGGATAACAGAAAAGTCAAGGACATCAGGGCTTTCTGGGAAGGAGAGAAGATAACCCCAAAACTGGCAAATAAAGAAGATGACTTAAATGAAAGCTCCTCTGCTAGTAACACGAGACCAACCTATAGAAACAAAGTCAGCAGAACAAAGTCAGTGGGTGAATCTTCAGGATATGTCACAGGTGAATCTGACAATGAACAAAGCAAGTCTAATCCAGTTACCTTCAGAAAAATTGAATTACGTGAGGATGTCTCTGAACCCAAAGATGATGAGATTACATTGTCTTCAGGAGAAACTAGAAAAACCCTAATGGCTAAATCCAAAGGGAGCCATCCTGCAGACAGATCTGGTGAAACAGTTCCAAGTGACCAGAAGAATGTTGAAGGGACACGACATCCAGATGTAGATCATATGCACCCGAGATGCAATGCAGAGTCACCTGGCAGTGAGAATGGACCTTTCCAAGGCATTGCTTTTGGGAAAGAGAGGACTTCCCCTACTCTACACCAGGAGCCTCCCTTTAAGATTCATTCTTTAAAGCAAAAAATAGATGATGAGTCAAAGACTCAGATGCTCAGTCCAGCAGAGTTTCAAAGCCTGAGAAGTTTTTGGGATGTGGGGACCAAGCCTCAGAGCAAGGCTGATGAGGCCAAGCCAAGGATGGTCGCCTCAAGGAGTAGAAATAGTAGTACAGGAAGTTATCTGAAAGAGTCAGAGCAGCCGAAAGAACTAGGAACTACTCAGGCTGTTATGGGAGATGAACAACAAAAGTTCCCAGAAGAAAGAACGAGGGAACCAAAAAATTCACCTTTAGAAGCAATAAGGGTGACTTCAAAGCAAGCAGGACAACTTGTGCTTTCTCGATCGATGACTGCTGTGCCGATGGGAAGCTTAGAGTTTGCCCTAACAGAGGGGAACTACTGTGAGGGAAAAGCTGTGCTTCCAGTAAAAGAGTATGTAGAAAAAACAGTTGTTCCATCAAAAGTACAACACAATTTGTTTAAGAGAAACTTGCAGAATCTGTTGATAGACTCATCTCCGGAGTCCTCATTGGTTTCCCTGCCTGCTGATGAGGAAGGGGTTGCACAGGCAGATGGACAGATGCCTTCTACTGACCAGGCACGGCAGGATAGGGTTGCTTCTGTAGACACAGATGGAAAAGCTGAACTTCCAGCAAGGGAGGTGATTGAGACGGTAAACCAAACTTTGGTCTCCCATAAAGCCAACCCTGATGCTTTTAAGACTGGCCTAGAGAGACTGCTGAAGGAAAGTGCAGATGTGAAAACCGTTTTTAGACCCCCGATAGTGGTGGATAGTCCTGAACAAGCAGTTCCTGCATTGGAGAAGAAGCGTTTCTTTAACAAGGTGATGGAGCGCAGTCATTCTGCTTCCCCCAGTGATCAACAAGAGGCCCTGGTGGAGTCTCAAGAAAGGGAAGAAACTCCCCCCAATTATATCTTGTCCAAAGATCAACCTGTTAAATATAAAGCAGTTGTAGGGCATTTGCCTGCAATCACAAAAGAATCAAATTCAGTGCCTGAGAAAGCACCTAACAAGGAGGAAGGCCAAACATCTCTTAACAAAATTCCTTCTCAGAAAGAAGCCTTCCAGATTCCATCACTGAAAATGACACTACCTGAAGCTTGTCTTGCCACTCAGGACAGCACAAATGCTCCTGGGAAAGAGGTTTTTGAAACAGCGACAGAAAGGACGGTTCCACCAAACAAGGAATGCCATGATCTGAATGCCAAACTAGTCTGCCTTCTGAAAGAATCAAGAATGCCTTGTGCTTCACCAGTGAGGGAGAATATTCTGAAAACACCATCCAGGAGTGTTCCTGGAGACAGTCAGCAAAGGCTGTTGACCGAAAAGTCCATTCTTTCTATGCCTCAAACAGCTAAATCTTCAAGTGAGACAGGTGAGCAAAGTGCAGATGCCAGTAAAGATGGTGGCAATAAACTGACCACAGAAAAAGGTGAACCGATTCAAGAAGCAGCTGCAGTGTTCCCATTTAGAAAGCAGAAAAATGAAAATGCCCTGGGGCAGAGCGTTACTGTTAATGAGCAACCGGTGGATGTGGCAGAGACAGTAGTGAAAACCATTAAGCCAAATTCATTTGAACATGCACCATTTAAAGCCAGGTTACAGAAGCTGGAAGCAGACTCCGCGCTGCTCAAAGAGACAAATGGTTCCAGCACATCACAGGCTACCCCACATCCCCATCCAAATGTGAGTCCGGTTCATGATAAAGATGCAGCACGTCCTCAAGAACTATTTGAAACCATTGAAAAAGTTAGGGCTCCATCTAATGCCAGGCAGGCGGAGCTCAGTGCCAGCTTGCAACGATTGCTCAAGGAAGATTCCAAAGTCCTGCCGAAAAGCACATGCCATAATAATGGGACAGAATTTGAGAGCAAATTTAACCAGACTGTAGATTCGGTTGGCAAAAAGGAAATAGGTCAGGGACCAGAAATTAACGAAATGATAGACAAAACGGTTGCTCCACCCAGATTGAACCAGCAAGAATTTTGTTCAGGTGTACAGAAACTACTTGAAGAAGCTGCCCAGACTGCCAAAGTGAAGGACAGCAGGCAGGCCAGTCTTGGCGTACAGAGCAGCATGGACTTTCCTGCAGAAGCAAATGAAACGGTGGTAAAGTCAGTTGCTCCACCAAACGTGGATGCAGCATACAACTCCAGGTTAGAAAAGCTCATTAGGGAAGGTTCTGATGCTGCTTTGCAAATGTCCAAGGAAGGCATTCAGGGAGCAACAGGCATCTCCACACCACTGATAAAAGAGAGCGTATCTGTCAGAATGGCACCACCAGTTGAGAGCACATCAGGTGACTATACGAGTATGGTTAAAATACCCTTCAAGGGCAAAACTTCCCAACAAGATGCCCAAACAGTAGAGAAAGCAAAGACTTGGGGTGTCCATGAAAATAATGCAGTTTTCCAAAAAACTATCCAAGTTAACCTAGCCTCAACTGCAGCACCAGATCTGCAAAAAGGGAAGGATTCCCCCATTCTTAGCAGGACAGATGATGCAGAGGGTAAATATGGAAGTTGGGGAGAAGCGGAGACAAGTGCAACACCGGATGGATCCCAAAGCGCAAGCACCTCACTTGGAGAAAGCAAAGGCCCTCTTAAAATAAGTAAAGTTGAGCTTCTGCTCGCTGCTTCTCATGATGGGGACAAGGATGAGGAAGATGACGATGATGCATCAGATCTTTTAGGTGAAAACAGCCGTTCCATTGTGGGAATCCAAAGAAGTTCAACCCGTGAGCAGTTTTGAATTCTTTAAGTGTTCTGTGTGTGTGTATGTGTATTTTTTTAAATAATAGCTACTTGAACGCTACCTGAATAGTACAAATTCAGAAGCCAAATCCTAATATTTGGGTATCGTTCCTGCAAGGCAACATTTTTCACACTTTTGATACTTGAGGCAGTCCACCCCCCCCTCCAAGATTAAAATGAGAGACTGATGTCTCTCTACCCTCAAAGATGCTTTCTCTCATTGGGTTCCCCCTGCAAAATGGACAGGATTCCTTCTTGAAGGTCTGCAGCTGAGCTAAGATTTGCTGCCTTGCGTTCTTATTGGAATTTGTGGGATTTGCTGCCCCAAGATGCAGTGATGACCACCTTTAAAAGGGGATGAGACAAGCGGTTAACCCAGTGGTTAACTGGAGTGATGGCTATATGCTGTTATCTCTTGTATCTGAAGCAGGATTATTCTATAACAGTTGCTGCAGAATATGAGTGTCAGGATACTGTTGCGCTCATGTCCTGTTTGTGGGCTTCTCATCAACCCAGTACATGCATAGACAAATAAGGGCATTGGGTTGACCGTTGTGGGACCAGAATGCTGGAGCAGATACACGTTTGGTTGATTCCAGGAATGCTCTGCATACACCCTTATTGTGGAGAGCCAGGATTTCTGCCTTCACACATTCAGAGCCCAGAACCTTCTTGCAAAATGTTCTTTATTGACCAAAGTGTTTTCCAGACGCACAGGGACCTGGAAAGAATCTCTGAACATGTACAGAGTGCTTTGTTGAACCCACTCTAGTATTCACCTCCGGGAACTCTCCTCATGAGCATGCCTGGGCCACATCCCTTTGGGAGGGACCCTTTGCAAATGGGGACTCCTCCTCTCTGCACCCCGATCCTCTAATTGGGCTGCCCACCTCTGCTGACAGTGCATCATGGGGTCAAGAGCCAGGGCCACCTGGTCTGTCTCTGAGAGAATCCCCTGCTCCAGGTCCCCTCCCACCAGCTGAGCATCTTGGTTCTTCCCAGAGACTGCCTGCCCACCTGGGGAGCCTGGCCTTGAGACCAGCGTCTCCACTGCTCTCATCTCAGTGTCTCAGGATGGCCACATCACATTCCCAGGCCACCCCCTGCTGCTCGCCCCCTCCCTCTGATTCTTCCCCAGCCAGAAGCCCTGGAGGATGTGCACCCAAGGCAGCCCTGTAGTTCATTCCCAGTATGTTCATCCTTCAGTCCTATGGGGCCTGAGCAACTGTGATGCTTTAGGAATTCCCCTGCGATTATCAGTTGTAGCATGGATTGTCTAGGCATCCTTTCTCCATCCCAGGCCAGACTTCGGCAGAGAAAAAGGAACAATTCTGCACAGAGCACAGTCCCTAAAAGTGGTGATGCATTGTACATATGGCTTTATTTTTCAAGGCATACTTTAGCTCCTCATGTGGCACACGGTTTGGGAATTGTTGTTGTTCAGAAAAAGAAACAGAGCAACAAAAACTCAGCCCATGAAATGCATTATGGAAAACTGCTCATCTGTTTTGAATTGGTAATTATTTTCCATCCTGCCCCTACCCCCAGTACTCAAGAAATGGGCAGAAGTCACGGAAGGGATAGCTGTCTGCAGGCGAGAATAGATAGCATCACTGGAACTTTTTTCTGTGGGAATTCCCACAGCTCTGATCTCAAACTGCTTATTAAATTGAAAAATGACTTGTGTTTCAACATCAGGAACTCTTGAAATGAAAAGCAGCAAATGAAATTCCAGTTGCAGACAAATTTCTTCCACACACATGCATAGAGATTCCCATCTTCACCTCTCTGCTGCAAAACTGACCAGTCTATGTTGTTATGCGTTCATGGCAAGAGGGATTAAATTTAAAATACTCTGTCAATGAAGATCTAGACTTTCCAGCTTCTAAGAGCTGCATGTTACCTTTTGTTTGTTTGAGGAATGACAGGACCAAACTATAAGGGTGGAACTGAATATTACAGGAGACAAAATGTTGCCACTACTGTTGTGTTAGCCCTGTGGTTCTCCACCTCCTTTCCAGGGATGCCAGGCAAGGAAATGCACAGCATGACGACATCAAGACAATGTATAAGTTGTATTATGTTACCTGGGAGGAGATGTTACAATGTATAAGTTGTATTATGTTACCTGGGAGGAGAAATGTCCTGGGAGGAGATATAACCTGAAATCCTCATGTAGGGCAGCAATGCCATGTTTCTTGTGAGAGTTTAGTAGTATTCCCCTACACAGATACAACAAGTGATTTTTTTTAGAAACAGCTATGTTGTTTGAGACATATGTCTGTGCGTTGTGCAGTGTTCATGTGTTTTGTCTTGAAACAGGTTCTGAAGATGAAATAAACCCTGTTTTGAAGGCTTTGAAAAGGAGTTCAAATAGGCAAATTCCTTCCAAAAGTCTAGAGGACATACCATCAGCCACATCAAGTGAGCACAAATGTTTGCCTGACCACTTCCATGCCCTTGAAAGGTTTTCTTCAAATGCTTTCTCGGTCTGTCCATCATTTGTTGAGAAATACTTTGACATTGCCTTTGGATGTCCAAAACTATTTAAAAACGTATCCAATGGTTGCTTATTTAGGGTCTGAAGAAACCATATGAAGCCATCTTGGGGCTCTGGAGCTATTTGAGTAATTTCCAATGTTTTAGAGAATGTACTTTTGACTCACTGGCAGCTTCTAGAAATACAGTAGCAGCCTTCCAACTTAGAACCATGCCTCCAGTATGCGGGACTTAATTCCCTGCGTTTTATATCTGCTCCCACACAGTGGGTAAATCTCATGGAATATCAAGAGTGCTTTTGTAAAGCAATGGAGTAATTGGCCCTTAGTAGTGTTGAATCAGGTGCAAATAGAAAAGATTAGAGAATAAAGCTGCAGGAACTGCAAATCCAGTAATGTGGTTCTTGATAGGTAGCTTCCACCCCTCCAGCCCAGAGTCCGTCCAGTGTTGAAAGTACTTTGAGATATGGACTCCTGCTCACACAGGTGCATCCTACTTCACCTTCTTAGTTTAGTGCATGTGTAAATGTTTGCATATCCTCACAAACATACACACAACGTCTCTTTTGGCCCATTTGCAATATTCTCAAACTGTTATCTATATCCACCCATTGGTGGGTTGGGCACTTCTGCTAAATGGAACTTTATTATTTTACTTCTACATACAGCGGTTAGGCTTTAGAAGGTGCTTGTCCTGTCCTATCAAAAGTCTTACAGGAAGGGTTCTCCTGAATGACATCTTTGGCCCTTTAAAACCTGCTGCTGCTTACTTGCACCTCAAAACTTGGATCGCTTCTAGATAGACTGAACTAGTAATAATAGGATTGCTGTGGCTTCATTTTTACAGCACATTTCCTTATGGTAGAATGTCTCATAAGAAGCATCTTCCATGAGTTAATCTTGGTTTTACTCCCAGTTTTCTTCTTGCTCCTCTTCCACCTCTAGAAGCTTCTGTTACGATCCCACTGTGGTCTTTAGCACCCGAAATGTCTAACTGTCATACCATTTCCCCCCCTTGCACAGATAAAGAACAAGTAAACCTTCCGAAGGATGACATAATGCTTAGTGCTGAAGATGGTAACTATTCTATTTGTAGCTGCATGAATGTGACCTTCTGCTGCCTTTAGTAATGTGTGTGAATTCTCAGAGCCAGAAGACTTATGGCTAGAGTTCTAGATAGTTGTGTATTGTGTACTGCCTTTGGGCAATGTGTGTCTGCATTTTTAATGTATCGGGGGCACCTGTTCGCTGCATTGGTTGCTGTCCAGCTCAAGTCACTGTGCCCAAATATATGTGGGTATGCCCTTGTTATACTAACTGTTTGCATCTCACTGAATGACCGTTGACATTGCCCTGCCGACAGCTCGTGCCTGTTAAAATGTTAGCCATGATTCTGTTTGCCCTCCATAACTGACGATGTGATCGTCTGACTTGCTATGGAATTGGGAGCAACCACAAATATAAACATTTTGAAAGCTTTTCTGGGTTCTTGCAATATCAACCCTGATGTTGGTACAAAACATGATAGGTGCCAGCGGAGGAGGGAAAGGCTGACAAGATCATGAAAGACTCTTTATACCTGAGTAGCAAAATACTTGGTTATTATTTTTATTTTTATTTATTATGAGGGGAGCGGAAGGAAGCCCTGCATTAGCAAGGGCCAAAGGGTCTTGGGCATCCATGTCTTTGTAAGAGGCATGTGGGTATCCTTCCAAGCACACACTGGGCTGGTGCATCTCCTGCCAACGGCAAACTTTGCTTCCACTGCAGAATTGCACCAGTGCAATGCTTTTTGTCCTCTCCCAGAGAGAGAATAGCAGGCATTCACCTACAGTATCTGTGAAAAAGCATTTCTCTCTTTACATTCTTACTGTGTTTGTTGGAAGGTTGGAATGCAAGACTGCTAGTCAGGGCTGTCAACATGCATTATTATTAATTTGTTGGGAGAATGAGGGTCAGAGAGAAATTGGGCCCTAAATAAACAATACACTAGCACTGTAGTTGAATTTAACTCTGTATTAAAAACCAGTTCCTATAGATTTCCAGGAATTCATGCTTGAAATAAATTACCTAGAATTAAATATTGGGATGGGGGCAGTTTGATGAGGTGGACAGTGTGCTGATCCTGGATGAAGGAAACTGAATTTAAATGCCTTGATAAGGGTGGGGCCTTTAACTACTTGTAGTGCAAAACCCAGGGATGCTACAGAGCCATAAGTATGTAAGAACAGACTTTAGACTATTAGTACATGCCCTGTTTCTCCAAAAATAATACCTAACCAGGAAATAAGCCCTAGCATGATTTTTCAGGATGCTCATACTATAAGCCCTACCCCAAAAATAAGCCTTAGTTAAGATTGTCAGCCAGACGGATGCATTTAGTATGTCCGTTGTAACACAATTTGGGGTTCGGAGAGTTATGACGATGTTCCAGAAGAAGATGGCACTATTGTATTTGAATAAATGCAGATTTTTGTACATGAATAAATGCAGATTATTGCACATGAAAAAAATAAGACATCGCCTGAAAATAAGACCTAGTGCATCTTTTGGAGCAAAAATTAATATAAGACCCAGTCTTATTTTTGAGGAAACACGGTAAAAATAAACTATAGACTTTTGCACCCTTTTCTGGACTCCGAGTAGTGTCTGTTGAGACCCTTCTGTAAGTCTGACCTGTGTGTGTATTAGGAGGAAAAGTGTACACGCATCTCCCCGTGGGATAGATGAGAGTTCCCTCTAGGTAGGATACCTGGAAACATGGAGAGAACATGTGTGGGGCAGAGCAACCCTCTGTTGTAGCTTGCTTGTCTTGCTGCTCATAGTATGTGCCTCTTGCATGTTCAAGTTTATCATTGCACATGTCAGTGTGCTTTTGTTTCAAAAATACAATTTTTCCTGTATTAGAATCAAGTCAGCTCTCTAAACATGCATTGCTGCTCTTTAGTTTCCACAGCACCTTCTTTCCCTGACAGCCAGTTCTCCAATCCGGAAAAAATCAAAATGATGAGCAAATCAGTTCCGGCATTTCTGCAGGATGAGGCAAGTTTTTACTTTTGCACGTCTTAGAAATCTTGGGCATTGTTTCAAGGGAGCGCTGGTGTGCCCGTGGAGCTATGCCTTAATGTAGACTTAAACGAAATAAGAATATAATTAGAAGAACTTGTTCCAGAGGGAATGGGCTGGAGAAGTGAATCTTGGGAATTTCTGTTTGTGATGCATTATGTTTTGAATTAGAGGGTTAAACTGAGAGGATGAGGAGGGTAGGAGTGTGAAATAACTTGGCTCAGAGTAGCAGTTTCGACCTGATGACCTACACTGCTATCCCACCCTGTTAATTTGTGGTGGTTTAGATACAACTTAGTGAAGTATGTAGATTTGGGTACAAAATGGTATCTGCTTTCACCATGGTCTGAAGATGACCCTGAATTAACCCAGCCAAGGTATCAATAAGTAGTTAGTGATACCTTGGTTTTCCTGTGAGAAACCAGGGTTGGCAATAATTTCAACCATGAACCATGAAGAAGGTTTGCTAGGAAAGGCTGCTGATGGTCCGTACCTGATCCAGAACAGATCCCCTTGGTTCTTTCAGTCTGTCTTTGGGATCTTTCCCTAACTTTCCATTAAACAGCTTTTATAACTACTGCAGTCGCTAGAACCAAAGCTTCCCCCACTTCTCCTGAGCGTGTTCTTTTGTAAATGTCTCAAATTAGCTGCTTACGGGAAACACGAATCAAACAATGAATCAAAATTTTGAATTAATGTTGCAATCATCTCTTGATCAAGTAATAATGTCTAACATAGAATAGATACCCTGGAGCAAAGGCTGACAGTAAAGTGGATGAGATCTACTTAAAGGAAGGAGTACATCACAAGGCAATGCAGTGCAATGTTAGAATTGGTGCTAAGAAAATGCTGCCTGGAGCTAACATCGAGTCAGTCTAAACCAAAGCAATCCCGGCTAATGCTTGGCCACACTTCCCCTGGAAACCTTAAGGGAAGGAAATGACAGGGTCTTTTAGGGGGCGATCCCATGGGTCTGCCCATGACTTGAGGGACTGTGGCCATCCCAAGTACAGCAAGAGAAGCGTGGAGGAGAGGGTTGCCTCTGTGCTCTTGGCAAAGCAGTTGGACAGCCTATTTCAGCCATCTGACTGCAGCATTTCAGAGGGGAAGGGACGCCTGCCAAGGTAGTACCAGGATATAGTCTGTCCTGGCAGTGCCAGTCTCCTCTCTTCCAAATGACCTTTAAACCTCTTCTCTGAGCTCATCCCTCCAAGCTTGAAGAAGCCACTAATGTGGCAGAGCGGAATCCGCACGTGAACCTCCAGTTGCAAGGTTGGAACACTTGTCTGACCTTGTGTCTGGGAATCCAAACCTTCCTGTGGCCCTCTAGGCACCAGCCGGGGGCCATGGAACAGCTCTACCCAGGCACTTGGCCAGCCGCTGAATTGATCTTATTAGGTAGGTAAATAGAGTTACCTAATATTTAATTTGACTCTGCTGTTCCTCCAGCATGAATCCCACTATTGTAACATTCTGGTTACAAGAAGCAAACCTGCACATGAGTCCTTCTGGGGCAGGTTATAGTCGCCTTTGGTCTAGTGAGATGGGAAAGTATCTCCAAATCGCTTAGTCCAGCCACCGTGTGCAAAGGGAAAATAAGCAGAATGCACAGAATGTGTGGCTGGGCCCTGCTTGCCTGTGTGTGCATGCAGGCGAATCCAGAATGCTAATGTGTGTTGGGGAAATGACATGTGGCCCATGACATGTAGACCGTAACGAGCCAGTTCAGGGTCGACTGGTGCTCACTTAACAGAGAATGTCAAAGCAAGCCATTTAAAACAACAAGTTTGTCTATAATTAAGAACTATTTTCTTGCTTAGCTGATACCATTTTTTTAAAAAAGAAAGCTTCAGATGTTTTCCTATAAAAGGATTGCAATACCGCTTTCACACATGCATGCACATACCTTGCTTATTCCCACAAGCCCAAAGGGGACCAAAGGATTATGAGCCATAAAATAAGTCACTTATTGCATTGCTGCTCGGTGAAACTGAGGGAGCCACTTCAGTGGACTGGGGTGGAATTAAAACAGATCTCCTTTCCTCGAAGAACGAAATGGTTGGCGGCACAGGGGCGGAACACAGAACGGTCTTGTCTTACCACTTCGTGTCATTCTGCCTTCCCCCCCACAAGTACAGATATATTCTTGCATGAAAACGTGCACGTGACTTGAGGTTTCCATCATTAACTGTATGCCCAGCAGTAAGTCTTGGCGGATGTGCTGGAATTGTGCTGCATGGCAATATTCGTACTGCTTTTCGAACACCCGCGCAAACTTTTTTCCCTGTCTTTGTGTAATATCTTGTAGAGCGATGACAGAGAGGCAGATTCAGCATCAGACAGCAGTTTCCCACTTGGCAGAATCAAGAAGAGCCCCAGTTCGCTAACCAATCTTAGTGGCTCTTCCGGCTTGGCGTCCTTGTCGTCTGTATGTAAACAAAAGCTTCAGTTAACATCGCTGCTTTCCCTACCTCTACAGTAGTAGCAAAACTTCTGTGTTGAAATGCTTGATGCCGTGACAAATGCTTCTTCCTTAGCTGTAACACCCAAATGTTTTCTTGCAAAAATACTACCCCTTAACCTAAATTAACCTCTCATTTGCCCCTGCCCATTGCACCCAACTTTTGGGGACCCTTCCAAGTGCTTGCCGTCACTCTTCCTGAACATGGGCTTCTGTGAAGGCCATACTCAAGTTGCCCATGGGAAGGACATTTTATTTATTTATTTGGGATTCTTATATGCTGCCCCATTCGCCTCAGGGCAGCTTCCAACACAAATAAATAGCAATACAAATACATAAAAACTGGAAACATCCTGGCATAGATATAAAATCAATAAATAAATTTAACAGGGAACACCAGCCAGTTCTGGCTTCCTAGTGAGTGTATAGCACAACTCAGCCATTGTGGCTTAGTATAATGTTAGCTAATAATCACAGCTTGTGAGAGGCCAGTAAACCAGAACTGGGAACTATGCTTCCAAAGTCATGAAGGCAGGAGCAAACACAGAAAGTGCAAGAACTGCTATATTTTGGTATAGAATTCTCTTCCTGTCCGGCCCTTTGAGGATAAGTGAGATAAGGATTGTATAGCAATTGCTGTACCGAAAGTATGAAGCATAATGATGGATAATAAGGGTACCAATTTTTTAATTATTTAAAGGTCTGACGACAGATTTCCAGGTAGTTTTTGAGTGCAGAGGCTTAGTAGGGATCAGCACTCATTCAGCAGATTGTATAGCTAGAAGAGTAGGCAAAATACTTAGGTTGGATCCTCTCTATAAAATCACTCTTTGCATGTAAACTACTAATGATTCCCCCCTATTGTTTGAAAGCAAGCATGCAGTATTTAAATATGCAAAATATCTCCTGCTTGGTGACATTCTTTTTTCAGCCTGGAGCTAAGCACAGGGGGAATTCTGTCCTGTAGTTAAATTTATTCCCCATCTTCACTATGAACACCAAGAAGCAAAGGGCAATTTTATACATGCTTATTCTTCACTTTGGGATATCTACAGGTGAGCACCAGCGTGATGAGTATCTACAGTGGAGATTTTGGCAACGTGGATGTGAAGGGAAACATCCAGTTTGCCATTGATTATGTGGATTCGCTGAAGGAGCTTCATATTTTTATTGGTCAGGGCAAGGACTTGGCGATTGCAGATGCCAAGAAGCAGCACTCAGATCCGTAAGTGTGTGAGAGAGACTGAACCGGGGGGGGGGGGGTGTTTCTTATTTATTTTACAAGATTTGTATGCCACTTTATATTCCAATATGGAGAGTTAAGAGCGGTGAACATACAAGAGAAAGCAGAGAAGAAGCGGCCGTGTTTGCACACTGTGAGGATAGGTCAAGCCTTGGCTTCTTTTCCCTGTTCTCGGCATGGAGATTGTGCACTGCATGATTTGCCGAATTACCTTTGTGTGCCGGACTTGCCATGTCGCCTGAACCCGGAGATGTCCATCCCAAACCGTACAACAAACGATGGGTTCTGGGTGGCTCTGGGTGATTTGACTTCCAGACCAGCCTTGCAGGCAGCCCCGTGCAGAGTGCATTGCGGCCATCTGGGATTTTCCAGAAAAAGGCCCATTTGTTCTATACAAAGCAGAAATGGCCTTTCGGCCGCCATCAGCTTAGGCCATGGATGCTGCACCTTAGGTCTGCAGACGGCACCTGGGCTGCCGGCACCAGCTGTCTGGGGTTCCCCGCAGGCACCATGCCTTAACCGCCCAGCAGGACAGACACGTGGACAACCCCAAACGGGGCTGAAGTGAATGTGCACAGGACAGTAATTGATGACCAGCATGCCCCTTAGGAGTGAGTATCCCATCCGTGGCCTTCAGTCCTTGACCTCATTAGGATGAGCAACTCTGTTTTGAAATGCCTTTAATAAGACTGACTTCCCTGCTTTAAGATGAAACTAAAGGTCCTCAGCCAGCCAGGTTTCCTCCCTTTGCAGTGTCAATGCCACAGGCTTCCTTGCAAAAAGCTCTTTATCCACCAACGGGTTTTCCAGAAGCACAAACACTCAGAATGACTCTCTGAGCATGCACAGAGTGGTTCACTGAACACAGTCTTGTATTTGCTTCTAGGAACACACCTTATGAGTATGTTTGGGCCCCATCCTTTTGGGAGGGTTTTTGGAAACGAGCATGCCCCCTCTCGGCAAGCTGATCCTCTAATTGGGCTGCCCTCTGCCAGCGTCACATCCCTGGGCCAACAGCCATACCCACCGCATCTGTCTCTGAGAAACCCCCATGTTTTAAGCCCCCTCCCAAACACCGTGCATCTTTGATCACTCTCAGAAGCTCCCTGTGCACCTGAGGAGCTTGGCCTTGAGATAAGTGACTCTATTTCTCTCATCTCCGTGTCTGGTATTGGTCCCCATTTCGAGGCCTCCCCCTGCTCTTCCTCCCCCCCACCCCAATCAGGAGGCCTTGGCAATACGTGCCAGAACCAACTCTCCTCCTCACTCCCAACACCTACTTTGTTCTCAAACTCCTTTGAAAATCAGCACTGATATTTAAATATTATCTCACCAGAGTGACTATTACACTCCTTTAGGTATGTGAAGAGTTACCTGCTACCAGAAAAGTACAAGCTGGGCAAAAGAAAGACATCTGTGAAGAAGAAAACATTGAATCCTGTGTACAATGAGATATTACGGGTAACTTGTTTCATGATTTCCATTTCCAGTAGCTAGGCTGGGAGTGTTGTCATTTATGTAGCCAGAACAACACATGCACAAGGAACAGTATCAAAAGGTCCAGTCCAGCTCAAAGAATTGCAGAAGTCTAAAAAACAAAAACCCTTAAAAGGGGCGGGGGCGGGGGGGGGGCGGGTAAAACCTAAAGGAGGAAATTGCCACCCATCTGCCTAATGAGGACTGAACATGCTTGGTCACCACAGGATGCTGGCTGACTCTTGGGTGAAGGAGTTGGGGGAACGAGAAGGAAGGGAGGATGAACTTCATGCGGTGCATGGACAACATGGGGAAAGTCCTGCTCAAGGAGGTGGATCCCAGTGGACTTGTGGCATATTTTTCAGTGCAGGCATACGTCGTGACAGTCTCGCAGCCACAAGAAGGAGCATCCAGAAATCTAGGCAGAGCCATATCTTTTGTAAAGTTGATGGGTCTTAATTGTCTGTTCAAGAGTAAGACACTGTTGTGATTGTCACAAGATGCTGTAGAATAATTGATGGTATAGGAAAGCCTGAAATACTACACTTCCTACTGTAACAGGGACAATATAGGGCTTCTGGGAAAAACTGTTTCCCCTCCATCCCTGTGTACTGCAGATCCAAAGGAGCTGGGGTTCTGCATCAGTGAGCAGAAGGTGCCTGCACCTTTGCTAATGAAAATATGCGCTTCCTTTATCCCTGTGAGTCCTGGCCTGGGATGTGTGGATTTTTGTCCAATTTGTTCTGCCAGCATCCCGCTGATTGTCAGAGGCCTTTCATTCCATCGTCTGCCCTGGGGCAAAATTAGATTTTTTTCAGCTCCCAAACTTGCATGCATGTGTGTTTGTAGAGATGCAGAAATCTCACCCAGAGTGCATCGTCAAGCTTTAGCCAAAGGGTTAAACATGTTTTTTTATGCTCTTTTTCTACAACTATATTTGCATACTTTTCTAGAAAGTAAAAATCAGATGGCAAGTTTGTGGAATCTGTGTGATTTCGGAAGAGCTTTTCTCTTGCAAATTCTGCAGGTCAGATTCCTGGAAATTTGAGCTCATTTGAATTTGTGGCGGATTTTCCCAACATCTCTTGTCGGAGCTAGGCTGCAGCTCTGTTGGGTACTGCTGTTCACTTAGATGCCTTAAATGCATGGAAGAAATCACTCTGTCAACAGCAAGTACCAATGGCAGAAAATTAAACTTCTCATGTTCAGAAACAGTGTAGTTCTGAGTCGTGAAAGCTGGTGACAAGGAAAGACAAGTGACTCTTGTTGTCAAGCTCAGCTTCTAAGCTTTCTGGAGTATCTTGTTAGCTGCTACAGACAGAGGTTCTTGCCCCTTGGCTTGTTCCAAAAGGCAAGGTTTTTTTTAATACAACAAGCTGATGAAGCAAATCCAGTCCTTACCTTGTTGCAAGAACTTCAGTGCTTGAGAATGCTGTGCTCTGGAGACTCTCAGTGTTTGGGTTAAACCAGATTTTTTCACTTGGTGCTGCAGATAATAGGCCAGTCTGTACATCACAACAAGCCACTGTGGATTAATTAACCTTGGGAGTGCCAGGGCATGGGGTGGCTGGCTACCATTTTGAAATGGCAGGTCCCAGCCAAAAGTTGATTTGGCCAGCCCTGTTGTGCAAGTTCAGGTGGCATGGGTTGTTTGAGGGTTGTCTAATTAAAACAAATCACTGCTTGTGTTAGGGTTATTTAAGCATTGTCTAAACCTTAAACAACCCTTGCTCCCTGGGTTTGTGTGACATGGCAAGCAGTGGTAAGCCAGACACCCACAAGAGCCCTGAGGAAATGGCACCTGTGGGCATGCAACCCAGTATAATAGCTCCTACTGGCAGATTAAGCCATGGGGGATTGTTGTGGGGTGCAAACCAGATCAGTGTCCTTAAATACCATCTTGCCTTATTTGCAGTATAAAGTGGACAAGGTCTTCTTGGCATCCCAGAAGTTGAATGTCTCGGTTTGGCACAACGACACATTTGGGCGTAACAGCTTCTTGGGTGAGGTGGAGCTTGACTTGGCTGACTGGGACTGGAACGACAGGCAGAAGAAGCAGATGAACTGGTATCCACTTAAACCTCGAGTGAGTTCCCAAACTTTGAGGGCTCAGGTGTATCTTTGGGCCAGACACTCTTTCCTCCCACCAGTCCCTTCAGTATGTGCACTTACAAGCAATATAAGGGCATTCTCATATTTGAATTATATAATGATTTGTAGTAGTTGTATTAAGCAATACTGTCTTCATACACCAAATTGTTGTTAAAACTGAAATTAATAATTTTGCCCAGTGTGGAGAATTTCCGTTTCTCAGTCAAGACTTTGCAGTAGTACTGCAGCAAGCCAGGAAGTAATTTTAAATGTTTAAATTCAAAAAGATTCCTGACTTAAAATTCTTAGAAGCCATGCTCCTAACCCTTTCTTCAGAAGTAGGACTTTCCATGACATGCGGTATGTCGCTCAAAACTGCCTTCTGCAACCTGGTG